AAGGCCCTCCACCGTTGCACAGTCTCAGCCCTGCAGGCCTCTTGGAACCTGCTAAGAGCCATGTCCAGACTCAGCCTCAGGGATTGAGAGTCCCGTCCTCTCCTGCCTGGCAGACTTTGGCCCATCAACTCTGAAGGCTTTGCCTCAAGTGAGGCAGGACTGAGGAGAAGGAATAAGTGGCAAAGGGGGCCATGTTCTTGGCCTGTGCCCAGAGAAGTGAAAACTCTACCCTGGGTGGACCTGTGATTGCCTCCAGGTTCACACACCAGGCCCTGACTTTTCTATTAAAGTTTCAGAGTCAGGCCAACACCTCAAGCCACCAGTGAGTCCCAGGCTCATGGGGGAGAGATGGGAAAGGCCTTCTAATGGAGAGGTACATATTGGTCAGAGAAGTGGAGGGATGCGGTTGGTCTCTCCCACGCCTTTGACCGCAGTGACCCAGCCGAGCTGGAGGTTGTGGTCAGGCAGGGAGCTCGTGCAGGAGGCGCATGGGAAAGTAATGCGGACCGACCCACCCTTTTGGGAAGGACTCCTTTCCTGAGGCCTCACCACGGCTTTTCTCTCTGTTGTTTCTTCCAGACTCATGGCGAACTGCTTCTACAAGATTCTCTTCTCCAACAGCAACAGGTAAAGGTCCCTCCACCCTCCTAGGGCTTCTCTCTGAGTCTGAATACGCCTGGGATGGAACTTCCAGGAAGGGGCTCCGCGTGGGCCATCCTCATCCTTGTCCCTTCGGGTGGTGGGTCCAGAGGAGGGTCTCTGACCTGGTCCTTGTCTGACATGGTTGGCTGATGACTTGTCTCCAGATTGCTTCTGGGTGGAGTCTCAGACAAGGCCCTATCCCGTTGCTATGGTCTGCCCCGGAGGCCTCCTGGGACATGCGGAGAGCCAAGTGAAGGCTCATCTACTGGGGATGAGAATGCCCGTCGTCTCCTGTCTGGCAGAATTGGTCCCATCAACTCTGAGGGCTTTGCCTCAAGTGAGGCAGGACTGAGAGGAAGGAATAAGTGGCAAAGGGGGCCATGTTCTTGGCCTGTGCCCCGAGACGTGAAAACTCCTGACCATTTCCTTTGTAGACATGGTTGGCTGATGTCTTGTCTCCAGTAGGCTTCTGGGAGGAGGCTCAGCCAAGGCCCTCCACCGTTGCACAGTCTCAGCCCTGGAAGCCTCTTGGAACTTGCTAGGCCATGTGCAGGCTCAGCCTCAGGTGATGAGAGTGCCCGTCCTCTCCTGTCTGGCAGACTTGGTACCATCAACTCTGAGGGCTTTGCCTCAAGTGAGGCAGGACTGAGAGGAAGGAATAAGTGGCAAAGAGGGCCATGTTCTTGGCCTGTGCCCAGAGACGTGAAAACTCCCCCCTGGTTGGACCTGTGATTCCTCCAGAGCTGCTTGTGGCTCGCAAGCTGCAGTTTGCCGACCACGGTCTTAGGGGAAATGGTTTTAGTTTTTGCCCATTGAGTATGATCTTGGCTGTAGGTTTGTTATATAAGGCTTATATTATGTTGAGGTATGATCCTTCTATTCCCACCTTGCTGAGAGTTTTTATCAAGAAACTGGCTCATGGGGGAGGGATGGGAAAGGTGTTCTGATGGGGAGGTACATGTTGCTCCAGAAGTGGAGGGGTGCGGTTGGTCTCTCCCCAGCCTTTGACCACAATGACCCAGCCGAGCAGGAGGCTAGGTCAGGCAGGGAGCCTGTGCGGGAGGCGTATCGGAAAGCCATGCTCTCAGACCCACCCTTTTGGGAAGGACTCCTTTCCTGAGGCCTCACCACGGCTTTTCTCTCTGTTGTCCCTGCCAGACTCATGGAGAACTGCTTCCACAAGTTTCTCTTCTCCAACAGCAACAGGTACAGGACCCTACACCCTCCTAGGTCTTCTCTCTGAATCTGAATCACGCCTGGGATGGAACTTTCAGGAGGAGGCTCCGCATGGGCCATCCTCATCCTTGTGCCTTCGGATGGTGGGGCCAGAGGAGAGGCTCTGACCTGGTCCTTGTCTGACATGGTTGGCTGATGACTTGTCTCCAGATTGCTTCTAGGTGGAGGCTCAGCCAAGGCCCTATCCTGTTGCTATGGTCAGCCGTGGAGGCTTCCTGGGACATGCTGAGAGCGATGAGCAGGCTCATGCTTAGGGGAATTTAGTGCCTGTCATTGCAGGTCTGCCAGTCTTGTTCCCATCAAATCTGAAGGCTTTGCCTCAAGTGTGGCAGGCCTGTGGAAAAGGAATAAGTAGTAAAGGGGGTCATGGTCTTGGCCTGTCCCCGGAGACATGAAAACTCCACTCTGGGCGGACCTGTGATTGCCTCCAGGTTCACACACCAGGCCCTGACTCTTTCTATTAAAGCTTCAGAGTCAGGCCAACATCTCAAGCCACCAGTGAGTGCCAGGCTCATGGGGGAGCGATGGGAAAGGTCTTCTGATGGGGAGGCACATGGTGGTCAGAGACGTGGAGGGATGCGGCTGGTCTCTCCCACGGCTTCGACCTCGATGACGCAGCCGAGCTGGAGTCTTGTGGATAGGGAGGGAGCACGTGTATGAGACACATGGGAAAGTCACCTTGACTGACCACCCTTTTGGGAAGGTCTCCTTTCCTGAGGCCTCACCACGGCTTTTCTCTCTGTTGTCCCTTCCAGTTTCGTGGACAACTGCTTACCACAATGTCATCCTCTTCTCCAACAGCAACAGGTACAGGACCCTACACGCTCTCAGGGCTTCTCTCTGAGTCTGAATCACCACTGGGATGGAACCTGTCAGGATTAGGCTCCGCATGGTCCATCCTAATCCTTGTCCCTTCGGATGGTGGGCCAAGGAGGGTCTCTGACTAGTTCCCTGTCTGACATGGTTGGCTGATAACTTGTCACCAGAGGTCTTCTGGGAGGAGGCTCAGCCAAGGCCCTATCCTGCTGCTATGGTCAGCCCTAAGGCCACCTAGGACCTGCTGAGAGCCATGTGCAGGCTCAGCCTCAGGGGATGAGAGTGCCCGTCCTCTCATGTTTGGCAGACATGGCCCCATTACCTCTGCTGGCTTTGCCTCAAGTGGGGCAGGACCGAGGAGAAGAAATAAGTGGCCAAGAAGTCCATGGTCATGGCCTGAATCCAGAGCCGTGGAAATCTTCCTGTGTGGCCCTTGTGGATATGGGGGGTCGCAGTCCTGCTCACCGCCCTGGGCAGTCCTTGGGCTCCCTACCTGGGAGAATCCTCAGAGCTGGCAGGACAGGATGTCCCGGGTCCTTTCCCTGTGATGGAGATGATTGTCTCAGAGTGTCTAACGCTGACCTCCTGTCCTGAGGCTTGGCTGTGAGGGAGGCCCTGTGTCTGGAACCTGCCTAAGGCCTGGATCTCAGCACAGAGGTGGAGGAGGTGTCCCTGTGGCCCCTGAGCCAGCTCACTACCACCTGGAGGGTGTCTGGGGATTCCTTCCAGGGCAGCTGGCCCCTGGGAGTGGTCGTTGGTAAGCGTAAGCACCTCCCCTCTCTGAGGATGGTGTCATCTGGGGGCTCCAAGACAGTGACACAGACGGGACAACCTGAGAGCACAGAGGTCCTTTGTGAAGGATAGAGAGAGTGGGAGGGAGCAGGAGGAGGAGGGAGATTGCAGGTGGCCAATGAATGGAAGGAACTAATGAGGCCCTCGGGGATGAGGTATTAGGACCCCATAGAAAACTTTAGAAATTGGTGTAAACTCTCAATATAAGAATGCGTCAAGGCTGAAACATCAGTGGGCGCATTGATTGACCCCATTTGGTGGGGTCATTCCCTGTTCATTCTTGGGGACAACACCAGGGCCCTGGTGGCCTGTCCCAGCCATGACACTGGCTTCCATACACTGGACAGGAAGTCCTCGGGTTCCGGGAGACAGGCCATGGAAAAGGGACAGAGGCCGTGGCTTTGGAAGGACTGCGAGGTTCGGGGCAGCACCTCTGTGTCCAACGAGAGGCCATGTGCATGGCATCAGCTCCGTTTGGAGAAGCTGAGTGTCATCAATCCGGGATGTGGGCCAGGCACCTGGGAGCTTGGTGTCTGACTGTCCGTTCTTTCCTACAGCTGCTCATTCCTCCACAACCTGGCCAGGTGAGTCCCAGCCACGTGTCCAGCGATGTCCCTCTCTCCTGCGCCCCTCTGCCTGTCAGGCCTCTCCAGCTCACCCATGGCTCTTTGAACCCCATCTGGATCACACTTTAGCCCTCTGTCTCTTTATCTATTAGGAGAAGGGGGATTCCAAAGGCTCTGTCTGTCCATCCTCCTTGTGAGTTCTCATCAGACACTTGGCAGCTGTCCCTGGGGAGAGTGGCCGATGGTCAGAGAAGTGCCTCCCATTCAATGAGGGTGACCCGTGACTCCAGGCTGAGGAGGGCTCTGTGGGATAGTGGACACTGATGCCCACTGGCTTTCTGATGATGGGACAGCAGTTTTCTGGCTTCTCTCCTCCTCTAACACCTGCCGCACCCTGAGGGCCAGCATGGTCACACCAGCATCCCTAGGTGGCAGAGACTGCGATCAGGGATGTCAATGAACATGTGATGGGGGTCCACTGAGTTCCAGGCCCTGTGATTAACTACATGATCAGTCACCAAGCCGTGACTCTTTCTATCTAAGCTTCAGAGTCAGGCTAACACCTCAAGCCACCAGTTGTTGCCTGGCTCATGGGGGAGAGATGGGAAAGGTCTTCTGATGGGGATGTCATGGCAGTCAGATACATGGAGGGATGCGGCTGGTCTCTCCCAGGCCTTCGACCCCGATGACCCAGCCGAGCTGGAGGCTTGTGGACAGGCAGGGGGCACGTTCAGGAGGCACGTGGGAAATTCATGTTGACTGACCCACCCTATGGGAAGGACTCCTATCCTCAGGCCTCACAATGGCCTTTCTCTCTGTTGTCCCTTCCAGACTCATGGACAACTTCTTCCAAAATGTCATCCATACCTGCCTCTCTTCAAACAACAACAGGTACAGGACCCTTCACCCTACTGGGGCCCGTCTCTTAGTCTGAATCACGCCTGGGATGGAACCTGACAAGAAGCTCCGCATGGGCCATCCTCATCCTTGTCCCTGTACGGGGGTGGGGCCAGAGGAGGGTCTCTGATCCGGTCCTTTTCTGACATGGTTGGCTGATGATTTATCTCCAGAGTGCTTCTGGAAGGAGACTCAGCCAAGGCCCTTCCAAGTTGCTCAGGGTCAGCCCTGGAGGCCTCTGGGACCTGCTGAGAGCCCTGTTTTGTGTCAGCCTCAGGAGATGAAAGTGCCCGTCCTATCCTGTCAGGCAGACGTGGTCCCATCACCTCTGAGGACTTTGCCTCAATTGAGGCAGGATCGTGGAGAAGAAATAAGTGGCAAAGGGGGCCATGGTCTTGGCCTGTCCCCGGAGACATGGAACTCCACCCTGTGTGGCCCTGGTGGATATGGGAGGGCGGCCCTGCTCCCTCCCTGGGCAATCCTGGGGCTCTCTACCTTGGAGAATCCTTAGACCTGGCAGCACAGGATATCCCAGCTATTTTCCCAGTGAAGGAGTTGAATCCCTGGCAGTGTGCAAAGCTAATCGACTGGCCTGGGGTGTGTTTGTGAGGGTGGCCCGTGTCTGAAAGCTACCTCTGGCCTAGAGCTTAGCACAGACATGGAGGAGGTGTCCCTGTGGCCCCGGAGCCAGTTCACTGCCACCTGGAGGGTGTCTGGGGATCCCTTCCAGGGCAGCTCTTCCCTGGGTTGGGTGTTGGTAAGGACCTCACTTCTGTGAGGATGGTTTCATCTAGGGGCTCCAATATAGTGAAGCAGAGGGGACAACCTGAGAGCAAAGATGTCCTTTGTGAAGGACAGAGAGTGGGAGGGATCCGGTGGTGGGACATGTCCTTTGGCCAATGAATGCAAGGAACTAATGGGGGCCTTGGTGTTGGGTATTATGATCACATGGAAAACTCTAGGTATGTGTGTAAACTATCAATATCAGAATGCGTCAAGGCAGAAATATCGGTTGACCCCATTTGGTGGGGTCATTCCCCGTTCATTCTTGGGGTCAACACCAGGGCCCTGGTGGCCTGTCCCTGCCATGGCACTGGCTTCGATACACTGGACAGGAGTCCTCGGGTTCCGGGAGGCAGGCCATGGCAAAGGGACAGAGGACGTGGCTTTGGAAGGACTGTGAGGTTCGGGGCAGCACATCTACGTCTACCGGGTGTCATGTGCATGGCATCAGCTCCGTGTGTAGAAGCTGAAGGTCATCAATCCGGGATCTGGGCCATGCACCTGGGAGCTGGGTGGTTTACTGTCCTTTTTTCCCCTACAGGTGCTCATTCCTCCACAACCTGGCCAGGTGAGTCCCTGACACCTGTCCTGTGACGTCCCTCTCTCCTGCGCCCCTCTGCCTGTGAGCCCTTTCAACCTGACCCATGGCTCTTAGAACCCCATCAGGACCACAATTTTGTGCTCAGTCTCCTTCACTATGAGGGTGGGTGGGTTCCAGAGGCTCCCTCTGTCCATCAACCATGTGAGTTCTCATCAGATACTTGGCAGTCGTCCCGGGGGAGAGCGGCCGATGGTCAAGAAGTGCCTCCCCTTCCATGAGGGTGACCCGTGACTCCAAGCTGAGGAGGGCTTTGTGGGATAGTGGACACTGATGCCCATTGGCTTTCTGATGACGGGATAGCAGGCTTCTGGATTCTTTCCTCTTCTCACACCTGCCGCAACCTGAGGGCCAGCATGGTCACTGCATCCCAAGGTGGCAGAGACAGTGCGGGGGATGGCGGTGAACATGTGGTGAGGGTCCTCTGAGTACCAGGACCTGTGCTTGCCCTCTGGTTCAAGAACCGGGCCCTGAGTCTTTCTATCCAAGCTTCAGAGTCAGGCCAACACCTCAAGCCACCAGTGAGTGCCTGGCTCAAGGGGGAGTGATGGGAAAGGTCTTCTGATGGGGAGGAACATGGCGGTCAGAGACATGGAGGGATGCGGCTGGTCTCTCCCAGCTGAGCAGGAGGCTGTGGACAGGCAGGGAGCACGTGCAGGAGGCACGTGGGACAGTCACGCTGACTGACGCACCCTTTGGGGAAGGACTCCTTTCCTGAGGCCTCACCACGGCTTTTCTCTCTGTTGTCCCTTCCAGTTTCGTGGACAACTCTTACCACAATGTCATCCACACCTACATCTTCTCCAACAGCAACAGGTACAGGACCCTACACCCTATCGGAGCCACTCTCTGAGTCTGAGTCACGCCTGGGATGGAACTTTCAGGAAGAGGCTCCGCATGGGCCATCCTCATCCTTGTCCCTTCGGGTGGTGGGGCCAGAGGAGGGTCTCTGACCAGGTCCTTGGTAGACATGGTTGGCTGATGACTTTTCTCCCGTGGCCTCTGTGAGGAGGCTCAGCCAAGCCCTATCCCATTGCTCAGTGTCAGCCCTGGAGGCCCCTTTGGATCTACTGTGAGCCATGTGCAGGCTCAGCCTCAGGGGATGAGAGGGCCCATCCTCTCCTGTCTGGCAGACGTGGTCCCATCACCTCTGAGGGCTTTGCCTCAAGTGAGGCAGGACTGAGGAGAAGGAATCAGTGGCCAAGGAGGCCATGGTCTTAGCCTGTCCCCAGAGCTGTGGAACTCCACCCTGGGTGGCCCTGGTGGATATGGGGGATGGGGGGCAGTCCTGCTCATCGCCCTGAGAATCCTGGGGTTTCCTACCTGTGAGCATCCTTAGAGCTGGCAGGACAGGATGTCCCTGCTCTTTTCCCCATGAAAGATGAATCCCTGGGCGTGTCCAAAGCTGACCGCCTGGCCTGGGGCGTGCCTGTGAGGGAGGCCCTGTGTCTGGAACCAGCTTCATGCCTAGAGCTCAGCACAGACATGGAGGAGGTGTTCCTGTGGCCCCGGAGCCAGCTCACTACTACCTGGAGGGTGTCTGGGGATTCCTTCCAGGACTGCTGGCCACTGAGTGTGGGGGTTGATAAGCACCTTCCCTCTGTGAGGATGGTGTCACCTGGGGGCTCTAAGACAGTAAGTCAGAGGGGACAACCTGAGAGCACAGCGGTTCTTTGTGTAGGACAGAGAAAGTCAGAGGGAGGAGGGGGAGGTGGGAGCTGGCGGGTGGCCAGTGAATGGAAGGAGCCAATGGGGACCTTGGAATGGGGGATTAGGACCCCATGGAAAACTCTAGAAATTGGTGTAAACTCTCAATATCAGAATGGGTCAAGGCTGAAACATCAGTGTGCGCCCCATTTGGTGGCGTCATTCCCCGTCCATTCTGTGAGGTCAACACCAGGGCCCTGGTGGCCTGTCCCAGGCATGACACTGGCTTCCATACACTGGACAGGAAGTCCTCGGGTTCCGGGAGGCAGGCCATGGTAAAGGGACAGAGGACGTGGCTTTGGAAGGACTGTGAGTTTTAGGGCAGCACCTCTGCGTCCACCGCGAGGCCATGTGCACGGCATCAGCTCCGTGTGTAGAACTTTGGCCCTCTGTCTCCTTAACTAGAGGGGGTGGGGGATTCCAAAGACTCCAACTGTCCCCTTTCCTTGTGAATTCTCATCAGATACTGGCGGCCGTCCCGGGGAGAGTGGCCGATGGTCAGAGAAGTGCCTCCCCTTCCATGAAGGTGGTGACTCCAGGCTGAGGAGGGCTCTGTGGGATAGTGGACACTGATGCCCACTGGCTTTCTGATGACAGGACAGCAGGCTTCTGGCTTTTGTCCTCTTTTCACACCTGCTGCACCCTGAGGGCCAGCATGGTCACACCCGCATCCCAAGGTGGCAGATACAGTGCCCGGGATGGCGGTGAACATGTGATGGGGGTCCTCTGGGTACCAGGACCTGCGCTTGCCTCCTGGTTCAGTCACCAGGCCCTGACTCTTTCTATCCAAGCTTCAGAGTCAGGCCAACACATTAACCACCAGTGAGTGCCTGGCTCAAGGGGGAGAGAGGGGAAAGGTCTTCTGATGGGGAGGTACGTGGTGGTCAGAGACATGGAGGGATAAGGTTGGTCTCACCCAGGCCTTCGACCCTGTTGACCCAGCCGAGCGGGAGGCTGTGGACAGACACGAAGCATGTGCAGGGGGCACATGGGAACGTGATGCTGACCGACCCACCCTATGGGAAGGACTCCTTTCCTGAGGCCTCACCATGCCCTTCCTCTCTGTTTTCTCTTTGAGACCCATGGACAACTCCTTCCACAACTCCATCCATGACTTCCTCTTCTCAAACAACTGAAGGTACAGGTCCCTTCACCCTCCCAGGGCCTTTCTCTGAGTCTGAATCTCGCCCGGGATGGAATGGGACAGGAAGAGGCTCAACATCTTTGTCCCTTCGGGTGGTGGGGCCAGAGGAGGGTCTCTGACCAGGACCTTGGTAGACATGGTTGGCTGATGTCTTGTCTCCAATGGGCTTCTGGGAAGAGGCTCAGCCAAGGCCCTCCCCCGTTGCACAGTCTCAGCCCTGGAGGCCTCCTGGGACCTGCTAAGGGCCATGTGCAGGCTCACCCTCAGGGGATGAACATCCCGTCCTCTCCTGTCTGTCAGACTTGTTCCCATGAACTCTGAGGGCTTTGCCTCAAGTGAGGCAGGACTGAGGAGAAGGAATGAGTGTGGCCAAGGGGCCCATGGTCTTGGCTTGTCCCCGGAGACGTGAAAAGTCCACCCTGGGTGGACCTGTGATTGCCTCCAGGTTCACACAGCAGGCCCTGACTTTTCTAGTAAAGCTTCAGAGTTGGGCGAAAGCCTCAAGCCACCAGTGACTGCCTGGCTCATGGGGGAGAGATGGGAATGGTCTTCTGATGGGGAGGTACATGTTGGTCAGAGAAGTGGAAGGATGAGGCTGGTTTCTCCCAGACCTTCGAACACAATGACCCAGCAGAGCGGGAGGCTTTTGGACAGGCAGGGAGCACGTGCAGGGGGCACATGGGACAGTCACGCTGACCGACCCACCCTTTTGGGAAGGACTCCTTTCCTGAGGCCTCACCACGGCTTTTCTCTCTGTTGTCCCTTCCAGACTCATGGCAAACTGCTTCCACAAGATTCTCTTCTCCAACAGCAACAGGTAAAGGTCCCTCCACCCTTTTAGTGCTTCTCTATGGGTCTGAATCACGCCTGGGATGGAAGGTGCCAGTAAGAGGCTCCGCATGGGCCATCCTCATCCTTGTGCCTTCGGATGGTGGGGCCAGAGGAGGGTCTCTGAACAGGACCTTGGTAGACATGGTTGGCTGATGTCTTGTCTTCAGTGGGCTCCTGGGAGGAGGCTCAGCCAAGGCCCTCCCAGTTGCGCAGTCTCAGCCCTGGAGGCCTCTTGGAACCTGCTAAGGGCCATGTGCAGACTCAGCCTCAGGGGAGGAGAGTCCTGTCCTCTCCTGTCTGTCAGACTTGGTCCCATCATCTCTGAGGGCTTTGCCTCAAGTGAGGCAGGACTGAGGAGAAGAAATGAGTGTGACAAGTGGCCCATTGTCTTGGCCTGTCCCCAGAGACGTGAAAACTCCACCCTGGGTGGTCCTGTGATTTCCTCCAGGTTCACACACCAGGCCCTGACTTTTTTATTAAAGCTTCAGAGTCAGGCCAACACCTCACGCCACCAGTGAGTGCCATGCTCATGGGGGAGAGATGGGAAAGGTCTTCTGATGGGGAGGCACATGTGGGTCACAGAAGTGGAGGGTTGCAGCTGGTCTCTACCAGGCCTTCATCCCTCATGACCCAGCCGAGCGGGAGGCTTGTGGACAGGCAGGGAGCACGTGCAGGAGGCACATGGGGAATTCATGCTGACCGACCCACCCTGTTGGGAAGGACTCCTTTCCTGAGGCCTCACCATGCCCTTCCTCTCTGTTTTCTCTTTGAGACCCATGGACAACTCCTTCCACAACTCCATCCATGACTTCTTCTTCTCAAACAACTGAAGGTACAGGTCCCTTCGCCCTCCCAGGGCCTCTCTCTGAGTCTGAATCTCGCCCGGGATGGAACGGGACAGGAAGAGGCTCCACATGGGCCATCCTCATCCTTGTCCCTGTAGAGGGTGGGGTGAGAGGAGCGCCTCTGACCAGGTCCTTGTCTGACATGGTTGTTGGTGACTTGTTTCTAGGGGGTTTGTTTGGAGGCTCAACCAGGACCTTCCCCTGTTGTTCAGGGTCAGCCCTGGAGGCCTCCAGGGACCTGCTGAGACCCTGTGCTGGCTCAGCCTCAGGGGGGGGGAGTCTCTATCCGCTCATGTCTGACAGAGGTCCCATCCCCTCTGAGAGCTTTGCCTCAAGTCAGGCAGGACCATGGAGAATAAATAAGTGGCCAAGCAGGCCATGGTCTTGACCTGTCCCCGGAGCCTTGAATCTGCACCCTGGTGGCCCTGGTGGATGCGGGGGCAGTCCAGCTCACCCCATGGGCAATCCTGGGCCCCCTCACTAGGAGCACCCTTAAAACTTGCACCCTTAAAACTGCTCCTTTCCCTCTGATGGAGATGAACTCCTGGTGTGTCCAATGCTGACCCACTGCTGTGGGGCGTGGCCATGAGGAAGGCCCTGAGTCTACAACCTGCCTCAGGCCTGGAGCTCAGCACAGACATGAAGGAGGTGTCCCTGTGTCGTCCTCTAGGTTTCAGGACCGATTCGGCTCTGGCCCTGAGGCTGGTGAACGGCGGTGACCGGTGTCAGGGCCGCGTGGAGGTCCTCTACCGAGGCTCCTGGGGCACCGTGTGGGAC